CACCTTCTCCCTTGAACCTCCCTAGAATTCTCTGTATGTCTCTTACGGGTGTTATCACATAGTGCCTTGTATTTTGCTATTAGTATACATGTACATTTCCCCTATTACACTGAAATCTCTTTGTAAGTGGGGAACAGATCTTATTTAGCTTCTTGTCTTACTCATTGATTCATGTAGAACCTTGCATACAGGGCCTAGTACAGAGCACTGAACATCTTGTAATGATTAGATGTTCAACACATAATTAGTTGAATGACTAACTGAATAAATAAATTTTATTCTGTCATTTGTTCTTTAATTCATTCATTCATCTTTTGAAGTAACATCCTGAAAGTAGGTTCAGCTCACATACAAAATATCCCATAGTGTTCTTTGTATGGACCGTTGCTCTCACCCAGAGTATTTCTTAGCTTTTTTTTTTATATTAAAGGGTGAAATGAAAGGTTAAGAGTTAGAAGTGCATTTGGTCCTTTCCTGACCCTCTCCTGACTTTTGTGTGACTTCAAGCATGTCACTTGAACCACTCAGTGACCTCAGCTGTGAAGCGGGGCTGCCTGGTGTCACAAAGGGATTGCGAAGAGCAGCAAATCACAGTCCTTGTCTAAACAGAATCACCTGCAGGGCTCTGATGCCTGCATAGAATGATGAGGGAAATTTAATTTTCCAAGTCAAATGGTCATTTGGACCCATAGTTTGAATGTCTGTGGGAGCAATTAGATGAGAGTCCTTGAAAATCTGTTACTTTTCTCTATATTTCTAATTTTTGTACTTGTAAATGTTCTTATTTTCTAGACTTTTTTGTCTAAAGAATATTGCAATGTCTAAGTGTATTAGTGTTTACCTCTTTAGACTTCAAAGGTGGGAAAATATCATTTCAGATATTATAAAAAGAAAGTTGAATTTTGGGAAGAATAGCAGTATCTTGAATTTTTATTTTATATCACTGAGTTTAGAAAAAAAATTGCCTCAAAATGATACTAATGCTAGTTCAAAGATAACTATTCGATGACTGTATATGAATATGTGTTTCTAACTAGCTTTTGGTGGGCGGCGGGGGAGGAATGTAGTTAAGCAAGATGATTGCAAACAAGTAGAGCAGAAAACAAATAAAAACACTGTTAGCCATCTTGCAAACAGAACCTTTTTATACCGTTAACGTAGTCTATAAAATCTTTGAAAGAGTAGAGCTTAATAGATTCCCCAGTATTGTAAATTTTCTAATTGGGAAAAATCCATCTTCCAGGAGATTTAGCCTTGTATGTAGCATGTGCTGATTATGATTCTTTGACTGCTTTGGGTTTCTGCTGCTTTTAAACTAGCATTTAAATGGACCATTTGATTAATCATTTGTATACTGACTGTAATCCTCCCAAATTTCCTTTCTGAGTTGTACATACTGTAAAAGACAATTATGTCGCCACAGATTAAATAAGCGAATTAAAACAGAATAGTGGCTTAATTTGACCTGTGATTTTGCTCTCCTTCCCTTTAGTGGAGCGTGTGCCACTCCAGCAAATAAATGAAGTCATCCATGACAGCTTGTGATGAATTGCCGTATTTATACTGTATATTTTAATAGCCTCACACTAATTTAAATTGAGCACAGAGTAAATTATAATTCAGTCACTTGACTGCTTATATTTAACTTGACAACTCATCCTTATTTGTCCTGGAGGTGTAGTGGAGAGCAGCAGAAATGCATTCAGGTATTTCAGTTTCTCACTTAACCCTTTCTCCAGGAAATGCTTCTTGTTCAAATTCTTTCCAGTTTGAAAAATTTAGCTCTTCCTAAGGAGAAAAAAAAACAATCATGAAGACTTAAGGAGTTCATGCTTTCCTTGTTCTTCAGAAAAAAAAATTAGTATTCGCTATGCTTTTTTTTTTTTCCAATTTTTCCATTTTAGGGTAGATTTTACTTGCCCTCTCAAGTTCCCAGAGATTACATTTTCATTTTTTTACCATTATGGAATCTCCACTCTTCTGGACTATAGCAAATTCCAAGAAAGATCAAGACCTATTAGGGTGCAGTGGATTGGTCCCACAAATACGGTGTTACTTGCTACATGTTACGCCAGTGTGGCAATTTTATTTATTTTGGTGTTTATGTCTTTGGTTTTAAATTCAGTTATAGAAATCAGGCAATTCTTTTCCTTCCTGTCTAGAAATAGCTTATTTGTAGGATTATGTTTGTAAGAAGTACTTTAATTAAGTCCCACATCACTTAATGGGCACCACTTGAATAAGACCCTGGTCTGGGTGCTGGATATGGGGGGAGGGGACCAGAGAAAAATGCACAAGACAGTTGTTGCCGTTGCCGTTCAGGGGCTTACAACCACTCTGTACTCTCTAGGCTTCTGTTTTTAGGAGATGAGGCATTAATGCTAAAGGCAGCTTGTGATAAGGAAAAAGATAAAGGATCTGATGGAGGGCTTTGGGGCTGGCTTTGTGGAGGTGGTGGTGGCATTCAAGCTGTATCTAAAGGATAGGAAAGGTTTTATGGCCAGTGACTATGGAATGGAGCTAGGAAGCACACCTCAAGTGGAGGGAACAGCATGGGGGAAAGCACAGGACATGTGTGTGGACTGGTAGAAATCATCTGGTTTTACACGTAGATTGGGTTTGTGGTAAGGAGTAGTGGGAGAAGGAGCTAGAATAACAAGTTGGAGGTAGACTGTGGAAGAATTCCTTGACTATCATGCTAGAATTTTAACTTTATTTGAGGCCGTAGGAGCCCAGTTAAGGTTCTCTTCTGTGAAGAGAATATGTTCATAGCTTGTAGTTTTGAGTTCATAACAAGGTTTTGGTTAGCCTTGTGGCATCATGTTGCTTCTTGATTGGGGGCCTGGAGGTGCAATATATCTTAGTAGTCATACTGAACACTGAATAAATGACATTTTTGAAACATTAAATAAGGGATTCTCAACCTTACTGTGGGTTACAAATCATCTGGGAAATTTTTTAAAAATGCAGAGATGTGGGCCCAACCCTAGAGATTCTGATTCCCTTATTCTGGAGTAAGCCCTGTGCATCAGGATTTGTTAGAAGTGTCCTTATATATTTATATAAACACCTAGATATAAAGGTAATTATAATGTGAGGCCAAGGTTGAGAACCACTGCTTTAAGGTAAATAATACCTTACTCCTTTTAGCAGAGTTTTTCAGGTTGAAAGATTCCCTGTACTTGACATAGTAGGGTGAATAGCTCTAATATTTTATGGCATAGAATTAAAACAACACTAGATGAATTAATTTTGTTGCTGAATTTTATACAGGAACAAAAATATAAGTGAATAGTGTGGCAAATGACTATTGATTGGGAGAAATGTTTAAATGCTTCTTGGCAGTTTTGCATTACACTTACAGTCTAGTTTTAGTGAGAGCTTTTATAAATAACCCTAAAGCAAACTCTTGATGGAAACTGCTATGCCTTTTTGTACTCATTTTACCCTCGCCCCAACAGATGTCAGGACTATAAAATCTGTGTTTTAGAGATTATCCTTTTATTTCCTTGCTCTAACAGCAGTTTGCAATTCAAAATTTATGTTTTTTCCTCCAGTATTGATTATATATGTGTGTGTGTGTGTGTGTGTGTGTGTGTGTGTGTACACACACACACACACACACACATTCTGCCATTGTAATACAAAATGTGGTTCAGTGTTGGATGTTGTTTAATTAGACTATCCTTGGTAATCCTGAATGTTAAGTTTTTATCTAGAAATGTCTAGAGTCAGAAACTCTGCCACAAATCTTAGAAATTATCTTCCAGTTATTTTATTATCATCACTGTCTGTTTTAAGGAAAAAACAATTTCCCTTGAATTGGCTTCACAGGAGATGCTAAGTAAAATTTGAATGGTTTATGGTCTTCTTTCTTAAAAAAATGTTTGAAATAAACTAGAATTTGTTCTAGGTAAGTTTATAAATATACTATTGTACATTTCTATGTTATGAATTTGACTCAGTGGTTGATATTTTAAGGAAAACCATAAAGCCTCAGGGCATACTGGAAAGTGCATGGTCCTTGGAATCAGGGAGGGGCCCTGACATTGTTGGGCCTCATGACTCCTCAGAACCTTGTTTTTTCCTCTAAAAGAAGGGAATTAGGGACTTCCCTGGTGGCTCAGTGGTTAAGAATCTGCCTGCCAATGCAGGGGACATGGTTTCGAGCCCTGGTCTGGGAAGATCCCACATGCCGCAGAGCAGCTAAGCCCATGTGCCATAACTACTGAGCCCATGTGCTGCAACTGCTGAAGCCTGCTTGCCTAGAGCCCGTGCTCCGCAACGAGAAACCACCGCAATGAGAAGCGCATGCACTGCAATGAAGAGTAGCCCCCGCTCACCACAACTAGAGAGAGCCCGTGCACAGCAACGAAGACCCAACGCAGCCAAAATTAATTAATTAGTTAATTTTTTAAAAAAGAAGGGAATTAGATGAAATCATTTCTGAGGTTCCTTCAAGCTCCAACATTTTATAACAGTTTTGGCAAAGAAAGATTACCCACCTGGAAGAATATAAAAACCTGACGTATTTTTAAAACTCCTTATTTCTCTCATAACTAAAAATCTACTTTAAATATTATTTTTACTCATTATTCTCTCTGCTTTTGCCCAGTGTCTGAATTACAAGACAATTATTTTTTTAATGGTTTCAAGGTCATTACGATCTTCCTCTTCTCAAAATAACCAATGTGACCAAAATAGGGTGTATAAATTAAGGGTGTTATAACTTAACTGACTTTTAAAGCTGTTAATACTGACCTTTGAGACCTGGCTTTTTCTTTGATCCCATCAATCACTTGTATACCACCTCCCCCAATACAAAGTGTTAGACAGATGTGGACACAGTTTGTATTACTGGAGGTTGTGGTGGGGAGGAGAGAGGTGGAATGAATAGAGGAAACACCGTATTTTTTAGTTTTTATATTTCATAATGAATATGACTATATTTAATTTAAAGGTGAATAAATGTGTAAATGTTGATTCCTTTATATATTTAGGTCATACTACTAGATATTACACTGGAACTTCAGAAGCAAATTATGTCTGAATTGGAAATTCTTTATAAGGTAATTTTTTTCTTGGTCATTTTTCCTTATAAAGTATGCCTGTGGTATTGGCTTGCAGGCTATTAACTACTTTGGTCTTATTTTTGTTACAGTGTGATTCATCATATATCATAGGGTTTTATGGTGCATTTTTCGTGGAAAACAGAATTTCAATATGTACGGAATTCATGGATGGTGAGTCTTCCCTTTTATAATACTTTAAAAGTGATTTTGGGAGTAGAGTGCTTTAAAACCTGGTTTTGATATAGGTATCAAGTAGAATTAAAAATAATGAAAATATACTAATAATTACCTCCTTTATGCTCTAAAACATCTTAGTGTTACGGGTTCCTGTTGTTAAATATTTATAGCCAAGCCATAATTTCAAGAATGTAATTTCATTTACTTTTACTGAAAATTTAAATAGATTAAATACTAGTCTAATCGGGTGGTTTGATACTTGATTCTTCCATACAATCTGTCTTCACTTGCAAAACAGTTGCTCTGTTCTTTTAATGTTTCAATAGCCAAAACAGACTTTCTTTTAAAGAAATCTGTTAACGCAATGTCCTGTGTCTTTTAGAAAGAAATCGGATCTTAATTGCAAGATAAGAAATTGTTTTCCAACACAGCTGTTTAGCCAAGATTTGTTTAGTTTTCTTTGGACTCTAGCCCTTTCCTTCCTTCCTATATTTTTTATTTTTTATTCATTTCTATTTTGATAAATCTTTTTTGTTCTGAATATTTTGGCAAAATGCAAATTTCTTGGTACCCTATCAGTAAAATGATGTCGTCATTGTTATTGTTTACCTATTTGAAATCAAAGCAGTCTTTAAATTTCACATATTCAATTTTTTAATGTCTAGCTCATTAAAACTCAACATTTGGGAGTTCCCTAGTGGTTCAGTGGTTAGGACTCAGTGCTTTCATTGCCGTGGCCCGGGTTCAATCCCTGGTTGGGGAACTAAGATCCTGCAAGCGGTGCGGCCAAAAAAAAAACCCTCAACATTTGAAAAATATACTTAGTTCATTTGGGGGATTCTCAGTATATTAATAATACAATTAGTTCATTCCCCACAAGACTTGGTTTTTTTTTGGCTGTGCGTGGGCTGTCTCTAGTTGCGGTGAGCAGGGGCTCATTGTGGTGCGTGGGCTTCTCATTGCAGTGGCTTCTCTTGTTGCGGAGCACGGGCTCTAGGCTCACGGGCTTCAGTAGTTGTGGCACATGGGCTCAGTAGTTGTAGCTCACGGGCTCTAGAGCGCAGGCTCAGTAGTTGTGGCACACGGGCTTAGTTGCTCCGCAGAATGTGGGATCTTCCCGGACCATGGCTCGAACCCGTGTCCTCTGCATTGGCAGGTGGATTCTTAACCACTGCACACCACCAGGGAAGCCCCCCACAAGACTTTTTAATGAGCCATCATTGACACCTTGTTACCATAATAATGTGTTCTAAATTAGTTACAGTAGATGTCAAGAAGTAAAAGTCTTACAAACATATGGGAAGTATGACAATTAGTATTCAAGGAGACTGACTAGAAAAAATGGGTTCATAGAGCCAGTACATGTCATTACTTTATGACTTTTCATCATCCTTTTTTGAATCCTCAATTTTTGTTACATTAAAAAATGTATTTATTAAGATGGTATGTTCAAATACCATAAAATTCGTCCTTCTAATGTGTACAGTTCAGTGGTTTTTAGTATATTCACAAGGTTGTGTAACCATCACCACTAATTCCAAAACATTTTTATCTCCCTGGAAACAAATTCCCTACCCATTAGTAGTCACTCCCTATACCCTCCTCCCTCTAGTCCCTGGCAACCATTAATCTACTTTCTGTCTCTATGGATTTCCCTATTTTGGACATTTCAGAGAAGTGGAATAATACAGTATGTAGCCTTTGTGTCTGGCTTCTTTCACTTAGCATAATGTTCTCAAGGTTCACGCAGGTTGTAAAATTTATCAGTACTTCATTACTTTTTATGACTGCATAATAGTCCATTGTATAGATCACCACATTTTCTTTACTCATTCATCACTGATGGGCATTTGTGATGTTTCCATTTTTTGGCTATTGTGAATGATGCTGCTATGTACTTTTGTGTACAAGTTTTTGTGGACATATGTTTTCACTTCTCTTGAGTATGTCAGCAGGAGTAGAATTGCTGGGTCATATGGTAGCTCTATGTTTAACACTGCCAAACTGTTCCATTCCATTTTACACCAGTTTGTATTCAGTTTGCTAAACTTGTTCCTTAAACTCTAATAGGTTTTTATAGATTCCTTAGGGTTTTCCATATAGAAGATCATGTCCTTTGAAAATAGAGGTAATGTTACATCTTCTTTTCCATTTTGGATGTCTTTTTTTCTGTTTCTTGCTAAACTACCCTGGCTAAAACTTTCAGGACAGTGGTTTTTTGGTTTTTTTTAATTTTTGAAAAAAATATTTATTTATTTTTTGGCTGCATTGAGTCTTAGTTGCAGCACCCAAGATCCTTCGTCACAGCACGTGGGCTCTTCGTTGCAGTGCACAGGCTTCTCTCTAGTTGTGGCGCGCAGGGTCATTAGTTGCAGCGCAAGGGCTCTCTAGTCGTGGCACGCAGGCTTAATTGCCCCACGGCATGTGAGATCTTAGTTCCCTGACCAGGGATTGCACCGGTGTCCCCTGCATTGCAAGACGGATTCTTAACCACTGGACCACCAGGGAAGTCCCTCAGTACAGTGTTGAATAGAAGTAGTGAGAGCAGACATCCTTCTTTTGCTCCTTAGAAGGGAAGCTTTCAGTCTTTCACCATTAAGTATGATGTTAGCTATGGGGTTTTGGTAGATGTCATTTATCAAGTTTGTTGAGTATTTTTATCATAAATTGGCATTAGATTTTGTCAAGTGCTTTTTTGTCTATTAAAATGATCATGTTTTTTTTGTCCTTTATTCCATAGTTGCAGTGTATTATATTATTAGATTTTTGCATATTGAATCAGTCCTGTATAATACTCTTTATATGTTGCTGGATTCAATTTGTTAGTATTTTGTTGAGGATTTTTACATTCATATTCTTAAGTGATATTGGTTTGTAGTTTTCTTTTCCTGTAATGTCATTGTGTGAGTTTGATATCAGGATAATTCTGTCCTCAAAGAATGAGTTGGACAGTGTTCCCTCCTCTTCTGTTTTTTGGAAGAGTTTGTGAAAGATTGATGTTAATTCTTCTTAAAACGTTTGGTATAATTCACCGGTGAAGCCATCTGGTCCTGGGGTTTTCTTTGTGAGTAGTTTTTGTGGTCAGGTGGCATTTGTTGTCTCTCATTAGGAGAAGTCCAAGCACTGCTGCCCACTGCATCTTGGTATCGGAGTTGCCAAGAAAAACAGAATACAATCAAGCACTGGATTGAACAATGCTTTACTCACATAAAAAAAAAAGAGACAGAGCAAGATCAGCTTTAGTAGTGGGTGTCAGTTCCCAATGGCCAACAGCAGGTCCCTCCTGGCAGTCTGTGCAGGGCAGTTGGCCTGCACTTATCCATCTGTGTTGCAGCAAAAGTACCCCTCACTCTGCCCTACTCCCCTGGAGTCAGAAATACTGAAAGCTGGAGGTATGCCTAAGGTCCATTGATGCACATGCTTAATCAGGACAAAGGAGTACACACTGAGCCTAAAACAGGGAAAGATATTCCAAAACAAGGAGATAAACCCAGCACAGGTTATATGGCCTCTTTATCTCTTGGTAAGCAAGTGTTCCAGCCCCAAGGCCCATTCTTATGTGGCCAAGTACGATTAGCAAGACTGTGTGCATAAGACTGTCTTTCCCAAAAGTTTTTCAAAAACTGTGGTATAATACATATATAATTTACCATATTAGCCATTTTTAAGTGTGTAGTTCAGCAGCATTAGTGCATTCACATTACCATGCAATCACTACCATCTCCAGAACTCTTTTCAGCTTGTGAAACTGAAACCCCATACCCATTAAGCCATAACTCTCCTTTGCCTCCTACTCCCAGCCCCTGGTAGCGAATATTCTGCTTTCTGTCTGTATGAGTTGGAATACTCTGGATACCTCAGCTAAGTGAACTTGCACAGTATTTGTCGTTTTGGGACTGGCTTGTTTCACTTTTCATAATGTCCTCAAGATTTACCCATGTTGTAGCATATGTCAGAATTTACTTTCTGTTTAAGACTGAATAATATTGTGAGCAGTTTTTTAAATTACCAACCAATATCTTTATTAGTTATAGTTATAGGTTTATTCAGAATTTCTATTTCTTCTTGAGTCAGTTTTGGTACTTTGTGGCTTTCTAGAAGTTTGTTCATGTCATCTAGATTATCTAATTTGTTGGTAAACAATTATTCCTAGTATTCCTTTGTAGTCATTTTTATTTCGGTAAAGTCAGTGTTAATGTTCTCTCTTTCATTCCAGATTTTATTAATTTGAGTCTTATCCCTTTTTCTCTTGGTCAGGGTAGCTAAAAGTTGATCAGTTTCTTTGTCTTTTTCAAAAACCAACTCTTGATTTCTTTGATGTTTCTCTGTTGTTTTTCTGTTGTGTTAGATCTCTGGTCTAATACTTACTAATTTCTACTAGCTCTGTTTTTAGTTTGCTCCTCTTTTTCTGTATTTTTAAGCTCTGAAGTTAGGATATTGATTTGAGATCTTATTTAATGTAGGCGTTTGCAGCTATACATGTCCCTCTAAGCACCTCTTTAGCTGCACTCTAGAAGTTTTGATATGTTGTTTTTTTCATTTTAATTTATCTCAAAGTGTTTTCTAATTCCCCACAAAGATAATCCCTGTGATTTCTCTTTTGACCCATTTTTATTTAGGAATGTGTCATTTTCCACATTGAATTTGTCCTTCTGTTGCTGATTTCTAATATTCCTTAGAGGTCAGAGAACATGCTTTGTATGATTTCAGTCCTTTTAAATTTATTGAGATTTGTTTTATGCCCTAAAATATTGTCTGTCCTGGAGAATGTTCCATGTGCACCTGCTATTGTTTGGTGGAGTGTTCTTGAGATGTCTGTCAGGAGTAGGTGGTTTATGGTGTTAAGTATTTTATTTCCTTGTTAATCTTTAGTGCAAATTGTTCTGTCTGCTGTTGAAAGTGGGTATTGAAATGGGGTATTTTTCGGTTGTCTGTTTCTCCCTTCAGTTTTGTCAGTTTATGCATCACATATTTTGGCATTCTGTTGTTAGGCG